GCCAGGTATCATTTAGAATCATTTTAAAGTAACAAACTGACAACTGCATTTTACCGAGCTCGTTGGAAAACCTAATATGTTTCCAAGAGTGCTTGTTGTACAAATGGATTATCATAAGACTTTACCAACCCCGAAGGTAACTTCTCAGGACTGGTATTATTCACGAAAATTGCGAACGCACCTTCTTGGAGTTTATGTTGCCAATGAAGACTGTCTGCACTGCTATTTCTACGATGACACTGTTGCTGGAGCAGGACCCAATGAAGTAATTTCCTTGTTGCATTCTACTCTGACGAAGCTCACGGAACAGTACGGAACATTTGACCAGCTCATTGTTTGGACAGATAACGCACCAAGTCAATTTAAAGAGTGTTTCTTTTTCTTTTACCTAGATCATCTTGTAAAAAATAAATATTTTCTAAGAATCGACCTAAAATTTTTGGTAGAAGGACATAGCTACAGCATTTGTGATCGTCGTTTTGGCAGCATACAACAGTTTTTTGATACTCACGAAAAAGTCGAAGTGCCACAAGAATGGGCTACACTCTTGAAAAACAGTGACTTAAAAAACATTAAGGTACACTGGATCACTTCGGAAGTAATAATGGATTACAAAAGTTTCTTAAAAATGCACTACGTGAGCAGAAATGTTGATACGGAGGGCAACAAATTCGAAGTGAAAAAGATCGCGTGGATCAACTATGGATATGGAGAAGTAGCTGATGAGAGGGGCAACTTGAAACTTGTGAGACATGACGGCGCTTTCGTACGATTCAAAGTAGATGCTATGGAAAAACCAACATCGGTTTCTTTTTCCAAGAAAAAGCAAGGTGTACAGCTAAAACCCGACATGTTATCTCCTGTTAATCTAGATAAAAGACTTGTTCCCTTGAAAGTTAAACAAGATTGCGAAAAACTTGCTCAGAAATATTTATCAGAGGCTGCCAAAAGGTTTTACGCTGCCATGTCATGCAGTGACGAGGACGCAACTGATGATTGATCTGCACGAGTGCAAGTGAATTTTGATTTTTACGTTTCTGAAAAAGCTATCGTATAACTTGTTAAAGCAAATGTACGAAGTTTTTATTCTTTCAAGTTGCAAATAAATAAAGTTGGAATTTACTGATTACTATTGAAAAATTGCATATTCTATTCCGCTACTTCCCTATGACCAAGATGTGAAGATTATTGACATGATTGACATTAAATTGACTAGAATCACAGAGATAGAGGGGCCGGAGAAGAAACGAATAATTGAAAATGTTCATAAATTCTAGGAAAGCTCAAAGAAAAAAACAGAGCACCCGATACGATAATGAGAATTGTAAAAATGACTTGTTTCAGATCGTGACTTTTAAGAACCCTTGTCAGTCTCGAGCATCCGCAAGGCTGAAAGGACACCCTTCAGTTACCATGCAATAATATTTACTTGATAAGTCGAGACTATAAAGCACTACAAGACCGTCTGCGCTGTACAACCCTGGGTGCCAGGGATTCGTAATGGAGGGTTTCCGGTTTCTTCGGTAAAGTGTTCATAAAAACATGACCTTCGGCGAAGACTTTTGTCGTTCACGAGGAAACAGAGAATAAACCTTTGGTACCCAGGGTAGTGGGAAAATTGATACTGCAGGTAAATAAATAACGACTCTTCGGGGCACAACTTTAATGTGCACTATGAAAACTCTAAATGCATGCAAGCTTAGGCGTTTTATTAAACTTCTAAATAGAAAAATTAGAATTCACTGTAGTACATAGTTGGCTACTATGAAACGTATCAACAAGGCATTTAGTGTAGAGTGGAGAAAAAATTACTCTATTTCCTATAGACCGACTTTCCCTAGCTGCGATCCAAGTTGGAACGACTCAAGGAGGCGATTAGACCTATTTATAAGTATTTCTAACCTCAAAAATACCTTCTGCTTTAAAACGCCTCTTATTTTAAAATACAGAGAAAGTGGATCTTTTAAAACATAGAAAAATATCTGTTTCAAGCCTCTGCTGAAAAAAGGTTAATAACTTCTTAAAAGTGAGAGTTAATTTGCCGATTTGAACCTTCATCGTTATAAAGTTTTTGCGGGCGAAGGTTTTAACAGTATGTAAAGTCGAAGTACCCAATCACTGGCTCAAAACATAACAACAATAGACATAATAGCGCACGGCGGATAATGTGCTTTAGTTTAGTACGTACTATTATGCCCGAATAAACAGCATTTTACATCCTGAAACACAGTTGAAACTGTTGAGAAACAAAGGACCGAAGAAGGCCGTGGCGAAGGGAACGGGGACTTACATGAACGGAGGCTTGATGTTCTGACTGCAATACTGGGCCACTCAAGTACCAACAAGTATTTATAAAAATTAAAAAACCTTGATGTTAGTGTAAAAAAACACTTATGTTTTGACCGAAACAAAACTGATTAGAGTCGTGAAATTAGAGCTTTGTTGTCTTAAACAGGGTAATAAAATGATCAATTTTTGTCTTAAACAGGGTGAGAGTTTGGAGGGTTCGGCGGCACATCATGGTGGTAAAACACCATGGGCACTCCACTGAAGCACAAAGTACCGACGACGTCTGAACGAACAAGACCCTTAAGAATAGCCTGTGTACATACGCCGCCCTCTTTTTTAGGGAACGGGGCGTCTAACACAGGGTACTTAAGAAAATTCGGCTTTCGTGTGATATGAAGAATTATGCATCGCGGTGTTATCCTTCCTTTGCGCGTGCACGGTATCCTTTGGGCATCACGCCCCGGATGTTTTAAAGATGGACAGCCCTATCGACCGAATAAATCTCTATCAAGCGCATAAGTACTAGAGGTAATCATGGAAACCAATTGCGTTATCCACTGAATAGAGATTTATCCATAGGTCATCGCATAGCGCTATCCGCCTTTTGAACAACTGGGGCCACGTCGAAATATTTATAGTTTGTCTGACTTGTTGTGCATACCAAGCATATCCGTATGCAATTTTCTTGCTATATTATTATTATCATTATTATTATTATTATTATTATCATCATCATCATTATAATTATTATTATTATTAGTCATTACAGACATTTAGAGTCTTGTTAACAGCAAACGGGAAACGTCAGATTCAATTAAAAATAGAAAATAAGCAAATAAGAGCGGCTTAAATCAACACGGATTATGGATAAAACTGGCGTGAAACGACTACCTTTTTTTGCAATTGGATAAGTTATGTACAGTAAACCACAATAAAAGGGAGAACCCACAAGGTACAAATTAACGCTTGCCGTTTGCCGTAAACTTTGCTATAAATTTCTCTGTTAACTTAACGCCTGATTATAAACCCCTGTGTTATGCATAATTCTTCATATCACAATCACTCTCATTAAATTTCAGGTAGCCCAAGCTCTAAAAATATGAGCATCGGCATTGTTGGGTAACATTAGAAATACAACGGAAATATAAGGATTTGTATTTTTCTGTAACCCACGGAAATGAAAGGTTTTCAATCCAAAATATAGCTTACCTTACTTAAAATGTGTGTTATGTGTGTTATGTTTTTCAGCTCCTGTGTAGTCCACGGCCGATTTATGGCCATTTTATGGGTAGTAATGTAAATAGTTTTCTTCTCTGATATATTATACAAAGAAAACCGTTTACATTACATCAAGAAACGGTCATAAATTGGCCCGTGGACCACACAGGAGAAACGTAACTTACATTTTAATTAAAGTAAGCTGTCTTTTTATTGAAATCTTTCATTTTCGTAGGTTACCGAAACGATAGCCTTTTATTCTCGTACAACTCCTTATATTCCGTCGTATTTCGAATTTTACGCCACAATGGCGATGCTCGTATTTCGAGCTTGGGCTACCTGTGATGGTGTGATTGTATCTTACTATCTCACACTCAGGCCACCCAGGGTCGGCCAAGGCTCATAATTCTACGATAAACGATATTTACGTTCCTTGAAATCAGGTGTAGGTCTCTTTAAACTATAGGTATATTGAAAAATGAATACATTGGTCATTTTGGCGGGTTTTTACAGTAACTTTTATACGATGGTATACTTTTCCTTCTTGGCCCGCCGACCTTGGCCACTGGTCAACGGTGCACTCTGATATAAGTCTCCTAGCGCATGAATCCCACCAACGGACAGCTTGTTAAAAATAAAAAAAAAAAACAACAAAAACAATTTTTCACCTCCGAAAACAAAAAAAGCAAAACAAAGAAACAAACAAGAAAAAACATTTAAACATTGCACCTTATTTCAGACAACTACCCTTGTTATTTGAGCTGCAAAACACCGAATTTTCTTTTCAATTCAACTCGTTTATGATCTTATATATAAACGAAATCTTGTAAATCTGCGAAACAATGAATTCAGCTTGTATCGGAAATCAGAATGAATTTCAAGCAATGTAAAAATCAAGCAACTAGCTAAGGGGTTAGTATACTTAACTACGATAACTGATTTGTTTATTTGATTTCAAGTGACTTATCCGTCGCCCTTGAAAAGTTAAAAATTTGACGTTTTTAGCATTAGGACTTCGTCAAGCGCTCAGAAAGTCAGCTCCAGTCTTTTCTGAAAAGAAGGTGCATTATTTTTTTACAACACAGTAGCTAACGTCGCTGACACTATAAACTTTTGTGATTCGTTCTCCACAACGCATCACAGTTAGGTTCCTAACCCCTTGCGACATTGTACTTTTTAATCACTTAAAACCATTGCTTCGATAATATTGTCCCTTAACAGAAAATATGTCAGTTAGGTGGTTCCAAAAAATCAGAGGATATTGGTGACAAGTCAGGAGTTTCAAAGCTCAAACAACAGCTCTCAGGATTCTAGGGTAGTGTCTGGCTGCTGTTGTAGAATTCCGCGCCAGGGTCGTTATAGTTCCACAAAAATTCCACAGTTTGTGGAGTATCGTGGAGTGCAACGAAAAAGACCCGTGGATGTGGCGTGTTCTTATTAGCCACATATGGCCTCAGGTTTGCATGCCTTAAAGAGTGGTTAATGCAGGCCGCTCATGGTATCTCTAGTTCTTGATTGCCTCTGTAGGGGTCGATCCTGAAAATAAAAAAGAATGCAGTTAACTGTTATTTTGTAGCAGGAACTCAGACACGTTCAACGTTGCAACCAAGATGTTATTGAAATGCTACATGTACTTACGCTACTTGTTGCCCTGCGCTCTCGATAACCATAAGAGAGCAGGGCCTCCCTGCCTCGGCGTACCTCTCCTCTCTCCTAGCTGCTTCCTCCATTTCCACCCTTTCTCCATCGTATTCTACCACCACCTCTCCCCTCTCGATATCCCTACTAGCGAATGCACAAATTCCGGCATTTCGGGGATCGCTTGGTACTGAATGTAGCTATCATAAAGAAATAGCACAAAGAATAAGCTGTTTCAAGAGATGCTATTCCAAGAGAGAATCATTCTCTCTTGACTATTCTTTGCCATAAACAAAGACCTTAGAACAGATCTCTTAAGTTCTTTTATATCTTAATTCGCTATCTTTTGGGCCAATTTCTGATCCACTGACATGAATCCGCATATTTTAGAAACCACATCTTTTGTTTTCAAGAATAGGCAATAATTGCATCCCAACGAAACAAGTGAACCCCCTAATTCCCTCACTCGAAGCCGCATCTTTTTTTAACCTTTCTCCAGTTTTAGTTTAAGACCGCTTCAGGTCTGGGTAAAACGATTATCATGATTTCAATTAAACATGTCCGGATTAGTGTGTAAGGGGCTTTTTATTATGCCAAAAAACATAATTACCTCGATGGGAGGGAGAGGCGGTGGGTTTATCCTCATAAAGTTCGCAATACTTTCCAACATCTGTCTTCCGCCAAATTCGAAACCGGGCTGTCTCCTCGGGGCTCTTTTGATGGAAAGCCCCTCGTATCCCCTTTGGCCACCTCTCTTTGTCTTTCTCACATCTTCCCACCCCAAACCCAAGATGACCTTATTAAATTGCTGTAAATAGGAAAATGGAAAATAAAAGACTCACTTAGTCAATGCTGTAATGCAGTTTGCGCACATAGCCGTGATACAGTAAACTCATAACTCATAACTTTCGCCCGTTCCCTGAGCAAAAAAATTAACCGTAGAATGAAACAGATTGTCATTTAATGTGTTAAAAATATTAGATTTCCCCGGCAATAGGGAATAGGAATATATTTAGAAATTAAAATGATAAAATTGTCATTAAAATGCTATTGCCCCTGTACGCAATATTTCCCTTCAGTGGCGCCGTAAACGGTCTTAGTCATACGTGAGAATGCCAAAAATTTTAAACGTCATTCTCATGCTTTGCGTTTTTGTACATGGTCATTGCCGCGTGTGAAAATTGGACTGGTCATGCATACGTTTCTTTTTTTTTTTTTTTTTTTACAAAGAAGTTTTGGCTATTACAATGAAAACCTCAGGCTGTTACAAAGAAAACCTCAGGCTGAACGGTATTCAAAAACAAATGAAATGAAATCGAAGATAGTAAGAGCCGGTATCGAAAAAAAAAAATTCGACCAAGTGGTATCGACAACAGCTAGTGTCGGTGAACTTTTCTCCACAGAGTGTCGGACTAATATGACTTTGAAATCAAAACAGTTTCAGAAAACAGAAAATATTAGTCATGCAAGCATTCATCAAAAAATTTTATTACTTGTTTGCTTGTTTTCCTTTTTAAGAATGGAAAAGACGGGGAGAGACGTTACTTCAAGTACCTTTTCGCATTGTCTGTGACATTTTGTTTTGAACAAACGATCGGTGGCCAAAGTGTGACGAGTCCCTGCTTATAATTATAGGTAAGCTCTTAAATTCATTAGCGCTGTTTTCATTTAGACAAAATGTATAAGTTGTAATCTTACCTTATGGAAGCTTTTTTCTTTCATAAGATGGGATGTCTGCCCATCCACACTATCACCATCCGTCCACAAAGCTACAACCGTACAAAACTCGGTAAAAATTTTCTTTGTCGTTAAAAAGCCCCCCCTACATGGCGCAAGAGAGAGGGCAATAAATTTATCCAGAAACGGACATTTTCCTGCACGTCTGTGCTTTAAAATAATCCTTCGCACATTAACTGGTTCGGATATGGCTGAAGCTTGCGCGAAAGTGGTATAAACATGCGTGGAAAAGCCAGTCAAGCCTGAGCGTGGAAAAGGGACTTTTTTGCTCAAAACTCGCTAACATTGTATAAATAAGGTTTTGGGTCAGGGTGAAAATGATCGCAGAAGAAATTCTGATAATCCTCAGTTTTCACAGAAAGACGAACATTTCGCGGAAAAGCTTTTAGAACCTTATACAGTAAAACTCCGCGATTAATAGCCTGCGAAAACAGCCGTTTCTCCTCGCTCTTAACCTGGATTAGTTAAGAACCTCCAGCTGTTAGACTAAAATTTGCCAGGTAAGCCCCCTCTTTATAAGAACCCGTTTAGCCTAGAATTCAGCTAAAACAGGTTGTTAATTTATAAAATCTATGAAAATATTGTGTCGATTGGGCAAATATCGGTGCCTTATCACTTTAACTGCAACGTAATGGTATGCAGGTTTTATTTGAGGAATAAGCTGTGCTGAACCACTGAATACTCTTAGTTATATTGCATTTTTCCTTCCGAAAATAAGAACCTACTTTAAAACCGGAATAAGCTGAACTTCGTGCCAACTACCATTTTTAGGCTAACGTGGAATAATCTGTGATCTTAGTCGCGGGGCTTTACTTTATTTTAATTGAACGCACCATTAATATCTTTTCGACCAAAAATGATGCGGTTTAAATTTGGAGCAAGAGACCATAGGTCTTATTTGGAAACAAAGAATATCGCCTAAGATTTTTATTAACGGCCTTCGGTGACTCAAAAATGCGTTGTTAGCGGAGTGTACCTGGGGTCCCTTTTCCAGAATTTCCCTAGAAACTTTGTGGGACCTGAAATCAAAGAAAATCCAAAGAACAAATGCGTCGGTTCTCGCCAACAAAAAAGATTATTTTGTTTTGTCAACTAATATAATTGGCTTGAATATCTCTTAATCGAATCCTCAGGACTTGTAAAACATTTTTTGAAACAACAGAACCGCGGGAGCGTTGTCACCAGGAAGTTCGAGAAATGGGCGCCTTGGCTGTTGTCATGCGTTGCTGTTGTGACTTCGTGATTGGTTGATGATTTTGCGCGCGCTCCTGTCAAAGCGCCCTGGGAGAGCTCAAGCAGAGTGTTGTTGTTGTTCGCGGTGCAACCAGTTCCAGTTTGGAATCTTTCGCTGTGGCAGTAAGAAGTAAGTAACTCTTAGTAGCCTTAAGTTACAAATCAATCTGGTATAAAGTTAATGATTAGAAAAACCTCATTCTTTTTAATTAGAAGCTGCAAATACGTAGCACTCTTGCCGACACAAATTCTTGAATGAATGCTTACGCTGCGAAGCGGCGCAGACATTCGAGCATAAAAGAATTTAGAAACGCCTTCGCTTCGCCGTTTTTTTTGCTGTGATAAAAGAGGAGGCGGCTCAATGTCCTTGAAAAAGCGTTATTGTGACTTCTATTACTTTGCTCTGTGGTCGGTTTATCTGTGTGCATGGTGTCGTGTGTTTTTTTTATTTCTCTTTCGGTTACTGATTAACGCAAGTCTATAAGACGTTTGTTTAATTTTTCTATTTATATGTTTTGTCTATATGCTTTTGTAAGTCGAAGATCTACAGACTGTTTGTAAGCAGTAAAAACCTAATACTACACCTACAGTTTATCTGATACATGTTACTTTATATGGAAGACAAATGGGACCTCAGTTGTCTGGCAAATATGTCAATGATTCGAGTCCGTGTTTTGTACCTGCCTGTAAAGTTTTCCTGGTCGACAAAAACTTGGAAGAAAATTGAACGAAAATTTGAATGTTGATCCAATTGTGTGTTTTATATCTGAAATGATCTGAAGTCATACTTTAGACTTAAACCACAGTTTTGTAAGTACTAAATGAGTGCATGATCCATTCATCTTAGACAGAATTATGAGTCTTTTAACCGGAAATTCAAACGTTGTGCCATTTGAACTGTGTGTTTAATCTGAAATGAGTGTTTGAAGTCCTTCTTAAGACTCCAACCATTTGCTTTCAGTGTTAAAAAAAAAAAATAAAATCAGCATGCTGTCTTAGGTATGGTATTCTAACACATAGTATTCTAACACATATTCTACATGTAAAAGTGTCATCAATGTCATGTTCCGGGTGTAATTTACCTTTCTTAAGTGTTCAGAGAAAAAAATAATACCTGTCAGATTACAACCTCAAAAACCTGGAGCAAAACCATTTTTAATAACAAGACTATTCCAATAATTTGTCAACTTTGTGACAGCAATTATAAGTTATGCTGACCTTAAAATAAGTCATATGCAGATAATATTAAATCAGAAGAAACTGTCAAAGCTGGCTTTGTGTAGTTATCAATTCAATTCTTTATTTCACACTATATAAGATATTTACATAAGTGTACGTAGGTAGGAAAATAAAGTAGCTGACAAATAATAATTAACTAAAAGACATTAAGTTCATTTGTGTACAGTGTCCAAAGTAGCAAGAGCTTTCTTGTTGGACACCGTCATGTTGAAATAATTGGCAGCAGTAAAGAGAGGAATAAAAACTCAGATAATATCAGTGACTTAGAACTTATAAGCAGGGTCAGATTTGGTTGATTAGGAGACAGGGCTTCCATTCTTTCGTAAACTTATGATATGGCACAATACACTTGAGACCAGGCGGTACATTCTCCCAGATTTTTGGAGCGGAGAATTTAAGCGACATCTTACCTAAGTTGGTGGATACTCTTGGCCTTAAATAGTTCAGATTACTGACAAATCTTGTATCATGATTGTGTATATCACGATGTACATTTACACATGGAAGAAACTTCCCGGGGGGGGGTGATTTAAAATAAGTTTTGTTGGGGTTGTGCTGCTGAAACCCTTTGATTCTGACCTTGTTTATGGCAAGATTAATGCTTTAAAATTGAAACCTTGTTTAAGAAGCTAAACTGTGTAATTTAATACTTTTGTTAGTCGCATAAAACTAGATACTATGCAGAGGGGCACATTTGGAGTGTCAGCCAAACATGGAAGTTTCCCCGCCCCCACTCCCCTGAGTGCATATGTCCATCTGTAAACTCCCAAGGAAACCATCTTTTATGTATGGAGGCAAAGAAGCAATGCACTTGCTAATGATGATATACGGTATTGTCAAGACATTCTAGTTGCATGCATAATCATAACTATAAAAATTCTTACATCTGTTTGGCTGTCAAATGCCCTGATTTCAGCCTTAATAGGACAGTTTAACATAACAGTACGAGTCATGCCTAAGTAATTGAACAGTGCATGCCATCACGTGCGCGCTTAAAATGGCTTTTTTTCACTGCTGGCAAAAAAAAGCTTGTGTTTTGATCTTAAAAAATAGCCTAATAATATATCACAAATTTTGTTTAAGTTATGATTAATTGGTAACAGAACTTTGTGTCGCACATTTTGGTCTGTAATCGTACCCATGATTAAAGAATTCGGACTCCCGCAACGCGGTTGTCTGCTTCTGTTAATCACTTGTATGATTACAAACCAAACTGAACTCCACTCAGTCCTTTTACCATCACTTATAGAACAATTATTGTATTTACCCTTTTTTTCAAGGCAGTTTTCCAATACACAAGAGTATAACTAATGTCAACCCAAGTTTTCATGCTAAAGTACAATTTCCAGGGCTGTCACTAAGATTTCAAGTTGCCGGGTAAATACAACAAGTAGGCGGGGAATCAAACAGCTAGGGATTTCTTTTGGTTCTATTTTTCTTCTAATTCCTATGAAAGTAGCGGGGGGAAATCTGCGCCCCCCGCCTCTTAATGGCAACCCAAATTTCATTACAGTATTGTTGAAAATAAAGATAATACTAAATTTTCAGTGATGCTGATATAAATCAACATAATCTGACTAAGCAATATGAACCAGTAATGACATATCATTTCACACAAAAAAAATCGTGTGTTATTTATGTGATTCCTTCACATACATACTCTAGTAGGAAACTTAAACTGCTGCTCACTACATTAAGTCGTTCAATCCTGTACCTCAAAAAAATATTATTATGAGCCCAACTATCACATGCCAGTCTATCAAAATAGAATTTATATTATCAGTCACCACACTTAAAGAATTTTACATTAGAAAGTGGCTGGCTAATTTAATATACATCAGGGGATTGCTTGATAAGTCACCATAGCAGTTGCATTTGGTATTACTCAATTCTCCTCTGCAAATGCATCTTATTTTGTTCACCTTTAGTTTACCCTGATGCTCTTCTCATAATTAGCTTGTGCCTATAAGGT